AATATGACTATACACATGGAACAGATGGAATACACAAGAATCAAATTGACTATATCTATGGGAAGGAGCTCTGGTAGCATAGTGGTTACAAATTGGGCTGTGAACCGCAAGGTCAGCAGTTCGAAACTACCAGCTGTTCCGCGGGAGAAAAATGACGCTTTCTGCTCCTATAAAGATTTACAGCCTCAGAAACCCTGTATAAGGTCGCTATGAGTCGGAACTGACTCCATGGCACACCACAACAACATGGGAAGAAATGGTGGAGAAACTCAGTATCATCAGCCAAAGCAATGCCAGGGGCTGACCATAGAACAGACCATCAATTGCTCATGCAAGTTCAGGCTGAAGCTGAAGAACTTGAAACAAGTTCACACGAGCACCAAAACATGACCTTGAATATTGTTGTTAAGTGCCGTCCAGTCAGTTTAAACTCATAGCAGCCCTGTATAGAGTTTATGAGGAACAGCAGGTGAGCCTGAACCACTGATCTTGCGGTTCAAACCAACCTTGCAGTCCAAAGCATTAATTAACCCACAGCACCACATTTCGAGATCATCTCAAGAACAGGTTTGCTGCATTAGTCACTAATGACCAAAGACCATAAGAGTTACGGTATGACATCAAGAAAATCACACAGGAAGAAAGTAAAAGGCCATTTAAAAAGTCAGGAAAGAAAGAAAATACCAAAATGGATGTCAAAAGAGACTGAAAATTTGCTCTCTCACCAAGATGCTAATGCAATGGAAGAACTGAGAAAGTAAAAGAGCGGAACAGAAAAATGTTAAGGCAGGTCAAGAAGACAAAGTACTAAAATGAAATGTGCAAAGACCTGGAGTTAGAAAACCAAAAGGGATGAACATACTCAGCATTTCTCAAGCTTAAAGAACTGAAGAAAAAAAAATTAAGCCTTGACGTATATTATTGAAGGATTCTGTGGGCAAAATAATGAATGACGTCGAAAGCATCAAAAGAAGATGGAAGGAGCAGAGTCACTATACAAAAATGGGCGATGTTCAACCATGTCAAGAGGTAGAATATGATCAAAAACCAGTGGTACTAAGGAAGAAGTCGAAGCTGCACTGAAGGCATTGTCAAAAAAACAAGGCTCTAGGAATTGATGGAATACAGATTGGAATCTTTCAACAAACTGATGCAGCACTGGAGGCATTTGTTCATCTATGCTAGGAAATTTGGAAGACACAAGCAATTGGAAGAGATCCGTATCTGTGTCCATTCCAAAGAGAGGTGGTGCAATGGAATGCGGAAATCATTGAAAAATATTAAAATCACATGCAAATAAAATTTTTCTGAAGATAATTGAAAATTTGCTACAACAATACATTGACAGGGAACTTCCAGAAACTCAAGCCAGAGTCAGACGTGGAATTAGGGCTATCATTGCTGATGTCAGATGGATCTTGGCTGAAAACAGTGAATACTAGAAAGATGTTTACTTGTGCTTCATTGACTATGCAAAGGCATTCGACTGTATGGATCATGACAAGCTACAGATAACACTGCGAAGAAAGGATATTCAAGCACAATTAATTGTGCTCAGGAAGAACCGGTATGTAGACCATGAGGCAGTCTTTTGAATACAAGGGAATACTGAATGCTTTAAAATCAGATATGTGTGCACCAGGGCTGTATTCTTTCACTACAATTATTCAATTAGTATGTTATGTAAATAATCCAAGAAGCTGGGTTACATAAAGAACATAGCATCAGGATTGGAAAGCTATGCAGACGATACAACCTTGCTTGCTAGAAATGAAGAGGACTTACTTACTAATGAAGGATTAGACCACAGCCTTCAGTATGGATTGTACCTTAATGTAAAGAAAACAAAAATACTCACATCATGACAAATGGAGAAAAGATTGAAGTTGTCGAAGACTTCATTTTGCTTGGATCCTGAATCAACACTCATGGAAGCAGTAGTCAAGAAATCAAATGACGTATTGCATTAGGCAAATTGGCTTATAACAGACCTCTCTTAATGTACTCAAGAGCAAAGATTAAAGACTAAGGTGTGTCTAACCCAAGCCATGGTATTTTCAATATCCTCAAATGAATGTAGAAGTTAGACTGAATAGGAAGACCATAGAAGAAATGATGAATTTGAGTTATTATTGTGTTGGAGAATAATACTGAAAGTACGCTGGACTGCCAGAAGAGCAAACAAATCTGTGTTGGAAGCAGCACAACCAAAATGCTCCTTAGAAACCAGGTTGCCAAGACTTTGTTTCATACCTTGGACATGTTATCAAGAGGGACCAGTCCCTGAAGGACACTTTTGGTAAGTGAAGTTTCAGTGAAAAAATAGAAAACCCAACCAGATGGATTAGCATAGTGGCAGCAGCAATGGGTTCAAGTGTAACAATTGTGAAGACTGTGCAGGACCCTATAGTTTTGTTCTTTTGTGCACAGGGTCACTATAAGTCAGAATGAACTAGAGGGCACCTAATAACACTGCTACCTTCAAACTCCGAAGCTTCTTCAGTGATTGACTGCTGTTACCTTCTGTTTAGAGTGTACTAAAATGCAGAAGGTTGTTCTGTCCCACCTTCAACTTGCAGGTATTTCTACATACCTGCACCCATTTGTAGGGTGGTTATCGCTCTCTTGTGCTTTTCCTAAGGGGAAGTAGTTTATACACTAATTGGAACTGACTCAGCGGCACTTAACAACAACAGTGTTCTCTAGTAGATTTTAACTGCATAAAGACAAAATACAATTTATCTTGTTCATTATTGTATTCTCATATTCTCAAAGCTAAATGGAATGATACATAAGACAAATATATTATCTAAGAGAGACAACATTAACCCAATAATACAGAAAACAATGAATACTCAAAACATCCATTTAAGTACTGGGGGAAGGAGCATATGAGAGGATAAACCAGAGCCCAAAAGCTAAACTGGGGGATTCTATTCTGAACTGTTTTTCATTTTTATATCAGCCTGAAGAATCTGGCTACAATGTTGACCAACTCAACAAAACATCAAGCACAACCAAGAAAAGTATACCAAACCACTCTTCAATTAAACTCTATGAGAAACTGCAATAAATGAACAAACAAAATATAGATCAATAATTCATTGTTTATTCTCCTTTTACAAAATGACACTTAGAACAAATAAATATAAAATGGCATAGGTCTTATTTAGCAATGGGTGAATACAATAGTCTCCACAGTAATAAACAAATGAAGTTTTCAGACATACTCTCATCCTACCCCTATTATTCTTAGGTGGTAGACAGGGAAGGGAGGGTGGACAATTTTTTAATTCCCTATAATTTTAAATAATGGATTCTCAAAAAGAGTAATCGAAGACTGATTCAGAGACTTAAGACATGTGAATCAATAAGCAAAAAAAAAAAAAAAGTTATGTATTTTTATATACTTATTTACTTTCAAAGTAACCCCAAAATATTATATAGCCTAGAAACTCCAACTAATGAATATTCTTACAAGTTTTTCATTTCTTACAACTTTCACGAATACTGTTACATTCAAACCTGCATGACAACTAAAGGAAACCAGAAAGCTGAGCACGATATATACACTGCTGAACTGAAGAAAACATCCATTAAAATAGTTGTATTTAATATACAATGGATACGCCATGTATTTTCTTAAAGCCAACAAAATCTTGATTTTTCTATACCATATAGACAAGGAGCTCTGGTAGTGTAGTGGTTACGAATCTGGCTGTGAACCGCAAGGTCAGAAGTTCGAAACTACCAGCTGTTCCGCAGGAGAAAGATGAGGCGTTCTGCTCCTGTAAAGATTTATAGCCTCGGAAACCCTGTACAGGGTCGTTATGAGTCAGAATCGACTCCACAGCACACAGCCACCACCACAGTCGATGTAGCAGAAGGCAGAGAAATACCAAAGCCATCTGCGATCAAATTTAGTTAATAAAATACATGCTGCCAATTTATGAACAGTGATGATTATCCAAATGTATTTGTTTCACTAAAATTCTCTTTAGGCTGATACCCAAAGAACTTTGCTAAGACTTTCAATTAAAAATTTGTATTTAATGATTGATCCATCAAGTGGAAAAATGTACAACAGTAATTTCAAACCCAAACAAATAGGGGTGAATTTATCCCCGGCCCTTTAAAAATAGATATTTTTAAAGTCATTTCCAAGTAATTCCTTACTTGGTGTTTTAGAACCACTTTCCACTTTACAAAGACCATTTAGAAAGGCAGAAAAGAATATAAAATGTTTAACGGGTCTTCATCAAATTAGCCAAATGGATTTTACACTTACGTTTTGTACTTTCTGTAGTACCTGGGTCCTGTACTAAAATTACTTTTACTAAGTTCACTTTAATGTTAGAAGCATTTATCTTAAAAGAGAAAAACCAGTTTTTATGCTTTAAAATATGACTCTTCCACTTCCACATGTACCCGCCACACCCCCCAAATATTTTAAGGAGAAAATGAATCTAACTACTTTAAGGGTTGATTTAATATTTAAAAAACAATCCCTTCATATTTTTTAGGATAGAACACCAAATTTGAGTCACCTATTTACTAGGAGATTTCATGGAAAGTGGAAGTACAAAAATGTCAGTACAAGTAGAACCAAATATAAGAAAAAGCACCTAAAATGGAAAAAAAGATAGCTGTGGAACTCTACCTGTCCAGTGGTTAACCATGTTATGTGTTCTCATGGACAGGATAGCTTAAATTCTCCAAAAGACCTAGGGTTTTTTTTTGTTGTTGTTTTATGTCTAAAACTTTCTTTAAAGGTCAAAAGCCAAATTAAATTTAGGGGAAATATTCTTAATTATGGAGGAAGAGGACTGAAGTACAAGAATAATGTTTTAAGTGGCTCGTTACAATTCTCTAGAAGTGCAAGTAAACACCAAAATTCCCAAAGTGAGGAGTTAGTATACCAACATGTACACCAGGAATCCTACAAAATGTTGTGATTTGGGGATTTAATCACCTTTATGATAGATTAGTGTTTCATGATGGACACATGCAAATCACTACTGCTGAGTTCCCATTTTATGACAATTTTGAAATCTGAATTAAACTCCAGAAAATGTAAATCTGGAATAAGAACTTGAAGACAATACAAACATCAGTTGAGTGGAACCTGCCTGCAATAATCTTTTATTTGTCTTTCTTTAAGGCTACAGAAAATCGGCACATAACCAAGGCAATTCATTTTCATAATAAAAACTGCCCCCCTACAAATAGTCAAGATTGCCACTCAGATTCTACGATGAGTATACGCTGCATCACACTCTATTCCATGGGTTTATTTTCTTTTGAGCCTGCAGGATTAAGGTCAATTCGCTCTGGAAATAACAGCTTCTCACAAACTGCCTCCTTTATCGGTAAATACTGTGATATTTCATTGGGTTCCGTGAAGAGGGAAGGTGAAACATGCTAGAAAATACATAAATCATATTAGTATTTTACATTCAGTGATCACATTGAACTTTGAGGATATGTTTGGCTCAAGGATTCATAAACTATACCAATTAAAAAATTTAAATAAGGAGTAACATATTTCCATAAGAAGCACTATTAAGTGCTCCTAATAACAAGTGTCTCCTGTTATTGAATCATTAAAATGAAGTAAATTCTTAGGATATTTATGGGGGGAGCATTATAAATTATATAAGTCTATGTTCGTTGACATTCACTTATAGGGTCACTATGAGCTGGAATCGTTAAAGAGCATAGGCTTAATATATAATTTACAATGCTCTCGTTAATAGTCTAAGAATTTACTACATTTTAATCCACTTCTCTGTACTTGGTGCTTTTGTATCTTGAAAGTAATGCTCTGCTTTTAGAGCCCAGTGTGCATTTTACAATGGAATTTACATAATTGGAAGGGATGTACCAGAGGCCTTAATAAAAGTTCATGGAAAATTCCATTATCTTTTAATTCCATTTTCCCATGAGCTCTTCGAAGCCCCCTCATATATTCTATATCCAATGAGAAATGTGGGTTTTGTAAATACATGAAAGTATACAAGGTAAAAACACAACAGTACATCAAGCCTTCAGAAAGATCACTTCCTAAGCAACTCATTTATAGGATCTTAAATTTCGAGGGCTTGTTTACATGTCCCAGAGAAGCAAATGAAGGGCCTTGCTCCTGACCAACAAAATGGCACTGCAGCTACACCAAGTGGTGCTGAATAAAGTCCTGCTTGGGCTTCTGGTCTCCAGGAAGCTTAAGTCTTTATTACACCAGGAGACCCTCCCCCAGGTAGTTTCAGGAAAATCTCCATAGCCCCGCCCACTGGAGGCTCCCAGAACTGTTACCTGGGACCACATGGCCTTAGATACCTCCAGTCTGTAAGAAACAGGCGGTTTTTGGTCTCTTTTGGTGACTTAAGAGTACCCCCTCCCAGGTTTACTCTCAATAAACCTGCCTGCTGTTGAAGCCAAGACTCTCCTTTGTCTCTTTCTTTCTTATTACTTACACAAAACAATAAAGGAGAATTAAGTCAAAACAAAAAAAGTCATACTATAGAAACACCACATATTACAGTGAGGGGGGGATAAAAGGGGGGGCTAGGTAGAAAAAACTTATACATGAAAGGGTGGTAGTGAAAGAACATCCAAACGGTGTCAACTGTACACCAACCACCTAAGACTTAGGATAAGGCCCATCTCTGCACCTCAATTTTTCCCATGTAAAATGTGAAAACTGGACTGGATGATAATTAGGGTATCTAACAACCCTACTGTTCTTATATTTTGGGGGAAGTTCAGGGAAGTTATGCTCCAGTAGGATTTATCTTAAACAACTCTAATAACTAAATGAATACTTAAACAGTATAACCTAGCTTCTAAAAACTGAAGTATAAATACTGTACCATTAAATTGGCAATTTTGCTCTCTCGTGATGTATATTCTCGTAGCATGTAGGTCTTGTCAGCCTATGTTAACACAAAAAAAAAAGTTGCAATAAATGTATTTATATTGATTTTCAAAATCTACTCTATTAAACAGAACTGCCTCCATTATAGACATTAATATGAATGTATTTATATTGACAAAAAAATCACCAAGATTTCTAAATTATTAATTCTAATCCCTATACACAGGAGCTTCAAAAAGTTAGTGGAAAGATTCCATTATTTTTAAATTTCAAGGTTTGGGAAAATACCAATTCAATCCCTTATCACTGAGTTTAAATTCCAGTTCTGCCGCCTACTAGCTGCATAACATGGGCACCCTACTTAGGTAACCTATCTTTGTCTCAGTTGCCTCAGCTATAAAATGGGGATCAAAACAGTATTTATGTCACAGAATTACTAAGTTAATCATCACTATAACTACTGTGACTAACACCGGTAGGTCTCTTCTCTAAGCCATCATTCTAGATGATCACAAATCTCAAGTTAGACATGAAATTCAGAAAGGATACATGATTCAGTGTAACTCCCTACTTAAAAAAAAAAAAACACACTTACAAAAAATAAAGCACCTGTATATTAGCATGCATAACTTTAAACCCGAGAACAACTATCAAAATAATTATGTAATATATGTTACCTAACATCAGCACATTAAATTAATAAATGCTATCAACAGAGGAAAGAGTTAAGGTTCAGCTTTCTCAAACACAGATTTAGTACATACAAGCCTTTTAAAAAAGCATCAGACCCTCCATTAAGGAATAGCATATAGAAAATACTCTCTGCTACTAGAACACTAGGAAAAAAGATGTCATGTTTCAATAACCACATATAATCAACAATGAGTCTGAAATATTCGACTTTAAAGGTTAATGGGATCTTCATATGATATAAAGCATTATTTAATTTCAAATTTTCAGACTACCAGTGAAACAACATGAATAGGCACAATATCAGTTAATATATTCATTAAATGAGAAGAGCTACCTCGTGGTAAAGTCGTGTGTCATTCATTCTGATAAGCACCCCATCAATTCTCAAGAAAAACCGCAACAACAGGAAAAAGCTAGAAGGCATTACTCTCTAAAAAAAAAAAAAAAATAGACATTTTAATGAAAATTAAGTATTTTATTACCTTGCTAAAAAGGTGCTTTGGTAGTGTACTGGTTACATATTAGGCTGCTAATGGCAAGGTCAGCGTTTGAATCCACCAGATACTTTGAGGGAGAAAGGTGAGGCTTTCTGCTCCCATAAAGATTTACAGCCTCGGAAACCCTATGGTTGCTATGAGTCAGAACCGACCATCAATCACCACCTTGCTACAAGAAAAATAAAGGGTAAAAACAGACTATCAAAAACCTTTGTTTGAGGTTGGCTGTTGTTAAGTGCTGTGGAGTCAGTTCTGACTCATAGTGACCATGTGCAACCCTACATGGGGGTTCCAAAGAGCAGTTGGTCAGTTAATACCCACTTGACCTGCTTCAATGACTGGATGATCAAAGCTCAACTAGAAGAAGAAGAGGAAAAAAAGAATAATCTGATACAATTTAATGAAGTTGACCTATACCTATGGATGCAGTAACTCAAAAAAGGGAACAAATCTTTACAGCAAGGATCATTCCCACCCCCTCAATACAACACAGGGTAGACAGGGATGGGTAACTTGGACATTGGCTACCCAAAATGGGGTGGGGGTGGGGCCTACAAAGGCAAGAAGTGACTGGCTTACAAGCTATCAAGAGGGAGCCTAGATCCAGAGGACAAGAAGGAAGGTAGAAGGAAAAAAAAAAAAAAGAAATTATGGTTAAATAAATTAAAAATAAAATTGACCATTTTAATCATGAAAAAAAAACAAAAGAGCAGTTGGTGGGTTTGAACTGCCAACCTTGTGGTTAGCAGACCAGGGCTTATCCTACACCATAAAAATCTCTGAGCTAGAGGTTCTCTGTCCCAGTTCCAACTAAGTCTTAAAAATTTGTGCAGGCGCCCATGTTCACTGCAGTACTATTCACAATAACAAAAAGATGGAGACTGCCTAAACGTCCATCAACAGCAGAATGGTTAAACAAACTTACGTATATACACACAATGGATTATTATTACTTAATGTTGAAGAATACCAAAGAATCTGCAAAACACCTCACAACATGGATGAACCTGGAATGCATTATTCTGAGTGAAATTAGTCAATCACAAAACAACAAATATTGCATGAGATCACTGTTATAAAAAGTTAAGAAAAGATTTTCTTGCTAAATGAAACATTCGATGTGTGGTGCTATAGGATAAGCACTCTACTGCACAGTCTGTTTGAGCAGTAAGGGTGGCGGTTCAAACTCAACAGCTGAGGAACTGACTTGATGGCACTCAACAACAACACAATGGTTACAGCGCAGATAGAAGTAGGATGGAGGGGAAAAAAACATCAAGTGAATAGAGGTAAATACTGTTAACTGATGGTACATGGAAGGAACTGCAATCTGTAATTTAACGAAGTGCATGATTTGTTGAATATGAAACTGACAATCTGTGTTCTTTAAACCTCCATTCAATTCACAAAAAGAGTGAGAAAAAGAAAAAACTTTGTGCAGCATGTCCCTGGGTGACACAGTTTATGTTTTTAACACAAACAGCTATTAAGTGAAAGTTTGGTGGTTTAAACCTACCCAAAAGAATCTCAGAAGCCAGGCCTGGTGATCTGTTCCTGAAAGGTCACAACCTTGAAAACCCTTTGAAGCAGTTCTACTCTGCACACATGGGCTCTCCGTGAGTCAGATTTGACAGAAACTAACAACAACGCCTCTTCGAGGGTCTTAGAAAATATTGTACAAATTATTTAACATTCTGGTTTTAGTTTTCTACAAAAGAAAAATGTTTTTCTGCACCAGAAGATATTGAGGTTAGAAAAACTTAAAATATACTCAAGAAATGTGAAAATCATAATGCTCATTAAAAAAAATAAAATCATGAGCAACATAAAGACATAATAGATAAGATGGACCTCATCAAAACCAGGAACCTTTGAGCATTAAAAGACTTAACCATGAAAGTGAAGAGTCACCCTACAGACTGGGAGTAAATATCTGGAAACCATACATCTAATAAGGGTTTAATAATCCAAAATAAAAAAGGTACTCCCACACAACTCAATTTAAAAATGGTAAAGAACTTGGATTATTTCTCAAAGAAGATAACTGAATAGGCAATAAACACATGAAAAGATGTTCAATGTCATAGTCATTGTTATTAAGTATCCTGGAGTCAGTTGCAACTCACCATGACCCTGTATAAAGTTTTCAAGGAGCTTCTAGTGTGTTTGAACTGCTGACCTTGCAGTTCAAACCCATCGGTGGTCCAGTGCTTACCCTACAGTGCCTAATCAAAGAGGTTAGTACTTCACTCCTATTTGTTGTTGATGTGGCAACTCCATATAGGATTTCCAAGGAGTGGCTGGTGAGTCTGAACCACGGACCTTGTGGTTAGCAGTCCAGTGCTTGCCCTACAGTTTGCCACACCAGGACTCCCTCCTACTAGGATAACAATTATTAGAAAAATAAGTGTTTTCTATTGGTGGGAAAGTAAAGTGGTGCACCTATTATGGAAAACTATTTGGAAGTTCCTCAAAAAATAAAACATCTGTTTATAATATGATCTAGAAATGGCATTCCCAGGTATATATTTAAAAGACTGGAAAGCAGGGTCTCAAACAGATTTCTGTATACACTAATGTCCACTGCAGTACTATTCATAACAGCCCAAAGGAAAATTACCGAAACTGCCATCAACAGGTGAATAAATATACAAAATGTGGTATACACATATGAAACAAGTCAAAAAGTATTGCTACTAGGGCTTCAGCTCATATTTACATAGGTTTATCCCAAACAAAATGGGTTCAGACATGTCTCTGAAATCAGTGGATGGCTGCAGGTAACTTGTCTCAGCAATACAAAGGAAGTCTAAAAGTATTGTTACAAAATCATAGAAAACTTTATCAAACAAAAATCATAATGTGAAGTTATTGTTTCTGAACATACCCTCCACGTAAGCCTATACACTTACAAAGCTGGTGTTTCTGTGTGGCGTTGTGGGTTAATGCATTGGACTGCAAAGCTGTTTGAACTGCAAGGATGGCGGTTCAAGCTCACCAGCTGTTCCTCGGGAAACCCTTACAGGGTCACTATGGGTTGGAATTGACTGGACAACACTTTACAACAACAACATCCCTTCCCTAAAGAATTCAGTGCTCTTTAACTTACAATTCATCAATATGGTGTCCTCAAAGGACTCAAATGTTCTTTTTAAATGTTGAGTTTTGACAACAAAAGGAAGCCCAAAGGGTAAGATCAGAGCTACAGGATGGACAGGGTAAGGGTTCCCAACAAAATTCTTGTGGGAAAACTCTTGCTACCCTCAAAGAATGCATAATTGTGATGAAGGGGGAAAAACAAAACAAAAACCAAGATGTAACTTTCCTGGCCTTTTTCTCACCAATGCAGTTTTCAATTTTCTTAAAACTTCATGGTGGTCGTGGTGGTTATGTGCCACTGAGCCAGTTCCTTCCCCTAGCAATCCTGTATAGGTAGGTTTCTGAAGCTGAAAATCCTTATATAGGAGCAGAAAGCCTCATCTCCCTGGCAGAGTGAATGGTAGATTCGAACTGCTTAATAAGTAACCTACTATGCTATCAGGGTTCCTTAAATTTCTTCATAAGCCCCTGTAATTGTCCTGTGTCCTTCGAGATTACTCCTTTGAAGTCCCCAAAAACAGTCACCATAGCCTTTTGAGTTGTCCTGATTTGTCTTAAATATAATTGGCCCAGCAGATGCCCTCCTCAAAACTTGTGTGGCAGTTTGTCATACTGTGGTGGCTTGCAAGTTGCTAGAAGATATGCCATAGGTGTTTCAAACAACAGCAGGTTTCAGCGAAACTTCCAGATTAAGAACAGAGTAGGAAGAAAGAACGGGCAGTCCACTTCTGAGTGACTGGCCCCTGAAAACCATATGAATAGCAACAAAACACTGTCTGTCAGAGTGCCAGAAGATGAGCTCCTCAGGCTGGAAGGACTCAAAAAATAACCCGGGAAGAGCTGCCTTCCTCAAAGTAAAGTCAACTTTAAGATGTGGTTGGAGCAAAGCTTACAGGATCTTAATTCACTGAGGGTGCACAACTCAAAATGAGAAGGAACAGCTAAAAACATCCATTAATAAATGAAATGTGGAATATACTAAGTATGAATCTAAGAAAATTGGAAGTCATCAAAATTGAAATGGAATGCATAAAGATCAATATCCTAGACATTAGTGAGCTAAAATGGACAGGTACTGGTCATTTTGAATCCAACAATACGGTTTACTATGCCAAGAGTAAAGTGTTGCATTCCTCAGCAAAAACTAAAACTGAAAACAACCATTTCAAAATCTATCTTGAAGTACAATGCTGTATAGATTAGAATAATATCTATATGCCTACAAGGAAGATCAGTTAATACCACTATTATTAAACCATATATACTAACCAACAAAGACAATAATGAAGAAATTGAAGAATTCTAACAACTTCTTTAACTCACAGTCTGAAATTAATCAAACATGCAATCAAACAGCACTGATAATTACTGTTGACTGGAATGGGAAAGTTGGAAACAGAGGAAGGAGCAGTAGTTTAAATATAAAACCTGGAGAATGCATGACAGAATTTTTTTTTTTTTTTCCCACCCCTGCATCACCAGAGACCCATCCGCATTTCTTTTCATCAGCCCTTCCTAGACAGGTTGGATATTACTCACTTGAGACTCCACCCTCCTCCCCGCCCTGTCGATCCA